AGGATTCTACTTCACACAGATCGCCACAGCCTGTTCTCCCAAAAATCCACGAAGATGCTCCTAAGATTGCTGACACCCATTCCAGCCCCAAACATGCACAATTCTTCTCAGGCTAAAAAATCATATTAAATTTTACTTATGTTTTGATGGCAGTTTTATTGAACTTAGTCTTCTGAGAAAAGATATAATCTCTTTCTCTTTGCTTTGGTTAAACCACTATCCTGAAGTATGATTGATATCCAATGTCTACAACTCAGTTTAGAAATTAGTATACACTGTGAAATCATCACCATAACCAAGACCATACACTTATACCTGCAAAAGTTGTCTTCCGTCGCCCATATTTTAGTTAATTTAATTTTTCATTTTGTGGTAAGAGCACTATCTACACTCTAGCACATGTTTAAGTGCACAATACAGTATTTTTAGCTGTAGGTTCCAGGTTGTACGGCAGATTCCCCCAAATTATTCATCCTGCATAATTTTATGCCCTTTGGCCAACATCTTTCCATTTCACTTCTCTCATCCCTGGGAGCCACACTCTGCTTTCTTCTTCTGTGAGCTTACTTATTTTGGATTTCTCATAAAAGTGGAATCATACAGCCCAGCTGGTGTGGCTCAGTGGTTGAGTGTCAATCTATGAACCAGGAGGTCACTGTTCAATTCCCGGTGAGGCAAAGGCCCAGGTTATGAGCTTGATCCCCAGTAGGGGGCATGCAGGAAGCAGAAGATCAATGATTCTCCCTCTCCCTTCCTCTCTGAAATCAATTAAAAAAAAAATTAAAAAGTGGAAACACAAGCCAGTTGGAGAAAGATAAATATCACATGATCTCACTCATATGTGGGATATAATGATCAACATAATCTGGATGAACAAAAATGGACCCAGAGACCAGGTGGCACTGAGCAGACTGTCCAACCTCGGGGAGGAGGCAGGGGAGAGGGGGGTTAGAGATCAACCAAAGGACTTGTTCGCATGCATATTAGCATGATTAATGGGCACAGACACTGGGGCGGTGGGGGTTTGCCCTCAGGTGTGGGAGTGTGGGAGTGGGGGGGGGAGGTTAATTGGGGGGAAAAGGAGACATGTAATACTTTAAACAATAAAAATCATGTGGAATCATGCAGCATTTGTCCTGTGTCTGGCTTATGTCATTTATTATAACGTCCTCCAGGTCCATCCATACTGGGGGAAATTTCCTTCTTTTTTATGGCTCAATAATTTTGCATACGATGCAACCTGTTTGGGTGGGGTTCTGCTGCACATCTGGCTGCTTTCCACGTGTGATTTATCAAACTGCTTATCCCTGGCAAATAGCACATCCCATCCTGCTGTTGTCCTATAGGATTGAGTTGTTTTCTGGTGGGGGACAAGGGACAGTGAACCTGGAACCTTGTCTGGAAAGAAAATCACAAAGACGCATGGAGGGTATGCTTGCCTGGTGGGGAACAGGAAGACCGTGTCTCTGGGGAGAGCATAGCTGAGAGCAGGCAGCAGGCTCTCCTGAGTGTGGGAAACCTGGGGTTGGGATGGCTGGGACAGATTTAAGAGCTCCCTCTAATGGCAAAGGGCATCAGCTCTGAGGAACGCTCAGGGTCAAAGCAGCCTCCTCTCCTTCCATAAGCATTGACTCATCCAGCGAGGCCCTCAGGCTTAGCTCATGGAAGTACACCCACAAGCTGATGCCTGAGTCTGTAAGCTCTTTTTCTTTATCACCTGGCATGAAGTTTTGACCCTTTCCTGGATCCAGCGTGGCCCCAGAAACCCTACTCAAGCACCCACCCTACAGTTAAGCGACTTCTCCATGTGATTGGCTGCATCCAAGCCAAGGGACTCACTGTAACTGCGCTACTCAGAGTGGGCTCCAGAAACCAAGAATATCACCACCTGCTGGTTTCTGGTTAAGAAGCAAGCCCTTCAGGGCTTCCCAGACCTACTGGGTCAGAATCCTGGGATAGGGACGAGCGCAGGGACCTGGGTGTTCACAGGCCTGCCGGGATGATGGTACCTTTTGAAGTTCACAAGCAGCTTCACACAGATGCTGGAGGCCTAATTCATGGCACAGCGCTGAAGCTTGTTTGCAAAGCGAGTGTTATTTAATCGTCCAAGAGCTGCGTTTGCTATTCCAGCTGTGGGCCTTGAATGTCCCTTCTCTAGAAACTGCACACAGCAAATTGTGCTCGCTGAGCTGTGACAACTGTGGCCACCAGAGGGCACCAATGGTCACCTAATGTATACAGCTCAGGGATCCCTGGAGCTCATTTGGTTCACTCTTCTCTCTGTTTCTCTTTCACTCCTCCTATTCTAGAAATAAATTCCTACAAAGAAACCAATAGGTGCAGCGCATGTCGGGGCCACGTCCTGTAAACCCCTCTGGGGAGAGGGCATTTGCTCATCCAGCCAGGCCCGCAGCTTAGCTCATGGAAGCGCATCCACAAGCTGAGAGGTTGCGCAAAGAGTGATGCACTGAGCTCAGCTTCATCCTCCAACATCCCTGGTGAGGCCACAGCCCAGGAGCCAGTGAGTCCAGTCTGTTTCAGAAGCCACAGGGGGTCTGAGGAGCCAGTGGGACAAGGAAACACTGGGGCCCATAAAAACCTCAGTGTGGGCCCTAACCGGTTTAGCTCAGTGGATAGAGCGTCGGCCTGTGGACGCAAGGGTCCTGGGTTCGATTCCGGTCAAGGGCATGTACTTTGGTTGCGGGTACATCCCAGTGGGGAGTGTGCAGGAGGCAGCTGATCAATGTTTCTAACTCTCTATCCCTCTCCCTTCCTCTCTGTAAAAAATCAATAAAATATATGAAAAAAATGTTTTTTAAAAAACCCCAGCTCTGCTGGTGCCTTTAATTTACAAAACAACAACAACAAAACCAAAAAAAAAAAAAACAATCAAAGAAAAACCCCACAGTGTGCCCCTTCTGTACATCCTATATAATAAAAGCCTAATATGCAAATTGTCCTGTTGACTGGGAGTTCGACCGGGAGTTCAACTAGGGGGTGGGGCTGTCCTGCCAAATGCCCATGGCCCCTCCCCCCAACCAGCAGCGGTGGCAGGCAGCTGGGGGAAGGGAGGCCGTTTTTTAAAAAACCCCAGCTCTGCTGGTGCCTTTAATTTACAAAACAACAACAACAAAACCAAAAAAAAAAAAAACAATCAAAGAAAAACCCCACAGTGTGCCCCTTCTGTACATCCTATATAATAAAAGCCTAATATGCAAATTGTCCTGTTGACTGGGAGTTCGACCGGGAGTTCAACTAGGGGGTGGGGCTGTCCTGCCAAATGCCCATGGCCCCTCCCCCCAACCAGCAGCGGTGGCAGGCAGCTGGGGGAAGGGAGGCCCTGGCCAGCAGCTGGCAGCTGCCAGGGACCCTTTCCCTGCACAAATTTCGTGCACTGGGACTCTAGTTCCCAATAAATCCATATTCATGGCTGGGCAGGTTGCTCCTATCGCCCACCAACTGGCTCTGGGAAATGCCCTTTCGGTTCTGCTCCTCCTTGTCTTGCTGACCCACTCTGCTGCTGTGTCTGGGGATCCCCTTCCATTTCTACCTCTTGCACTTGTGTCCTCATTTCAGCCTCTGGTTCTGGGACACTCAAGTGAAGTCTTCCTTCCCCACGGAGGCCCTGAGGGCGTCCCATGGCTGGGATTCAGCTACAGGGGACCTCTTCTGTCGCTGATCCTTCCCAACCCACCCTGCCAGGGCCTTGTCCCTCTGTCCTGGACAGGTGACAATTTTAACTGCGTTGGATGGAGGAAGGCAGGTCGTCGGTATGGTTATCCTTCGTGATATCATCCCTGATAGATGTGTAAGATGCTTCAAGCATGATTGTGGAATTGCCGGTTTGACCTGTAACAGCACCAATGATTCTGTTGGCTGTTCCAGCTCTACATGTTGTTTGGGTGCAGGTTCATAGATATTAGGGCTTTATGTTGAATTACTTTTCTTATTGTCACGTAACCTGCAGTTGTATTGCTATAGATGCGTTCAGCTCTCGGTCCAACCCTGTTCCTAGTATGCTGCTCCTGGACCTCCCAGCTGCAGGGTGGGTGGGGCACCTCGTGTCAGGGCACTGGTTCTGGACCAAACCCACCCTCTGCCTGTCTATACACATAAAGTCCTATTGGAAGAAGACCCCCCTGCTTGTGTTCTCATTGCCCCCTGGTGCTTTCCAGACACAAGGTGACATTAGAGAGTGGAGGAGACCACATGCCCACAAAAGCCCAAGAGTGACTCTTTTCCTCTGTACCGAAAAAGTTTGCCAAATCCTGTTCTAGGCATTTTGGCCAGAGTCCCAGTAGCATCTGGCACAGAGTCCCAATAGTGCCTCTCAGTTTTTAGCTGGCCATGGGTTCCCTAGGGATTTGTAAAATGCAGTCTCCTGGTCCAAAGGTGCAGGCTCTGAGAACATACATCTCCAAAGGGGTCTCTGAGCTGCCGTTGCTGTTGCCGCTACCGCTGGCCTTGCTTGCTCTTTGAGTGGAGGCTAGAGTCCCCTCCTCCATTGTCCCAGCTGTCACGGACCAGGAAATGTGTGTGAGCAAGACCCCCGAACAGAGGCCACATGTGTCCTGGGGAGCCTGAGGCCCTGTCCATCCTTCAGACAAGGGTTCCCTGCCTTGGTCATGGTCATTGCCCCCCTGGGGACATGGTTATCTGTCATGAGCCCTGAGCTAGCCGCTCAGAGGCGCCTTATTTGTGCCACCTGGAGCTGGCTTAGGAGGTGCAAGGTGAGAGATGACTTACCCCCTTGGGCCACCGAGCTGCCCAGCAACTGCCCATCCCCCTCAGTCAGGAACGGTGCACACGGCGCCTTTTGAAATGCTGATGTTTAATGGACTATTCTACATGAAAGAAAATGGACACGGAGGAATTTCCACAATGCCCGTGTGTGAGGCTCCAGATATTTGCAAGGCAGAGAACAGAGTGAGCTCAGAGCTGCTCAGCCACGGAAGGGCCAGAGAGGGGGCTAGAGAGGCTGGGCGGGAGCGTGATATCACTCAGTAGGTCCCCTCCAGGCAGGTCTTGTTTAGGAGCTGAAACACTGTTCTCCAGGGATCGATGCTGATGGTGAAGAAGCAGATGAAGGTCTGAGGGAATAAGCACAGGAATAAATTGTGGGTGAAGAAGCCTTGGGAAGCTGGTGACTCCAAGCCCTAAAGACGGCATCTGTCCCAAACTTGCATCTGCAAGGTGAGCAGCTGGGGGAACGCAGGCTCTGGCCCTCAGTGTAAGTCTCAGATGTTCCTCACCTGGCTCACTCCTAACCCCAGGGCCTCTTGTGCGACTCTGCTCCCCCCAGGAGAACCCCTGGGCTGTCCCCGAGTGGCCCATGCCTCTAGAACAGCAACACACGCTCCTTCCCAGCGGGCCTTACCTCAAGTAGCCCTGACCTGAGGTGGGCTTGTCCTAGAGCAGGAATTCACTTTCCCTTACCCCCCTGGCAGGAACTGCAGCCCAGCAGGGCCTGGGGCAGAGCATGGGACACAGGGCAGTGGGCTCCCCTCACCCAAACCCCCATCAGATCTGCTTAGTGACAGGGGGACCTGAAGACTGGCCACTCAGTCAATGGTGATGTTGGCCACCCCTGACATGTTCCTCCTCCTGAAGGCAGGAAAGGGCAGTGGCTGCAGAGCGGGAAGAGAACATCCTCTGGCCAGAATCAAGACACCCGGGCCGTTAGGGGCAGGAACAATCTGTCACCAGTATGGCCCGAGGTTCAGACAGCTGAACAGGGTGAGTGGACAGTCGGGATCTCACATTGGCCAGGGGCCTGCAAGTGGACCCTGGGGCTTACCTGCTAGGCTGGGCTCTGTCTTTAGCAGAAGCAGTGGCTGTTGTAGGGCCAGTAGCCCCTTCGCTCTTGTGTCCCTAGGAATGGTATGTCTTCTGCCCCACCCCCCGCAACACCCCTATGCAGGTCCACAGCTCTGGAACCTGAAGGAGGCTCATGTGTGTCTTACGTTGTTCAGCTCTGGGTTTTCTTCAAAGGGGCAGTTGTCAATGTCTTCATCAAATTTCCCACACCTGGTTCTGCGAAGCTTCAGCTCCATGGAGAAAGCAATCAGGGTCTCTATCTGTGGTACATATAGACATTAGAGGGGAAACATCCCTCATGGTCCCATTAAGGAGTTGCTGGTGGTGACACATGGAGTGCAGGAACAGGCCCAACCTTACTCTCTTCGGGGCTTCCCTCTGGGTCTGGATCAGCACACTTGTGTTAAAGCTACACTTGGGGTATTCTGGACAAAGAGGCACAGAGCCCGGTGGAGCCTCTGGGCTAAAAGCAAGCTGATCACACACTATTAATACCACACACTGCAGCCTCACATTTGCAAATACCAAGTGAGACCCCACCTTTCTTTTCAATGCTTCCTGCTTCCATAGCATTCCCAGAGACAGGTGACAAGTGGCTGGGAGGGTGTTGGCCCTGCAAGAGTTTGCTTGGTCATCTCAACCCCGGAGTGGGAGACTCATCTATAGTCCCATTGTCACACCCTTCACCTGCCCAACATCAGAAAAATGCCATACGATGCTAGTGAAACCACACACACACACACACACACACACACACACACACGACGATGGCTTCAAGAAACAACTTCTATGACAAAGTGCACTGTGAAATGTTCTGTACTCTTCTCCACTCCATTCTACTCATTTTATTCCATTGTCTCCCACGGCATCCACTCCATTATCTCCGGCACCGAAACTCAGTCTGTGACTCTGGATGTAAAAATCCCGCCCAGAGGTCCAGCCTGAGAGACCCCAGGGTGCCTGGACCAGTGTCCCAGAGGGTTAAGGTCAAGTGAAGTCTTCCTTCCCCACTGAAGCTCCGCGTCTCCCACGGCATCCACTCCATTATCCCCGGCACCCAAACTCAGTCTGTGACTCTGGATGTAAAATCCCCCCCAGAGGTCCAGCCTGAGAGAGCCCAGGGTGCCTGGACCAGTGTCCCAGAGGGTAAAGGTCAAGTGAAGTCTTCCTTCCCCACTGCAGCTCCGAGGGAGTCCCATGGCTGGGATTCAGCTACAGGGGACCTTGCCTCCTATCGCTGATCCTTCCCAACCCACCCTGCCAGGGCCTTGTTCCTTTGTCTATAATGAAGGCACACGTGCAAGAGGTAGAAATGGAAGGTGATCCTCTGACACAGCAGTGGAGTGAAGGTCAGCAAGACAAGGAGGGGCGGAGCCAAAAAGGATGCGTTTTCCAGAGCCAGCTTTGTGGGTGCAAGAAGGCAGCCTGTAGCCACATTCTGGGAGAGGGCACCAGCACCTGCCTGAGGACCGCCAGCCTGAGTGTGGCCACCTGGGGGCCTTGGGATGAAGGCTGGACATGGTGGGGACCCTTTGCCCTTCATGTGGACTCTCAGCGCAGAGGTCCAGAGGGTGAGAGAGTAATGCCCCCGACACCACACACACACACACACACACACACACACACACACACACACAGAGCCAGAAGTGCTCCTTCGGGCGAGTGTTTCCATTGTTCATGTCTGCAGCCCACATGAAAAGGGCACCGCTGGTTGCATTCTGAAAGAGAGCCCATGACAAGGCGAACCTTTAAGGATGCAAACCCATGGTCTGGGGAAGAGGGGAAATAACATCCGTCCACAGCGGTGGAAACCCCAGCAGGGAGCCCGGGGCTCATGGAAGTCACGGCGGAGACCCTGTTTTATTTTATTTCCTTGAACTCTTTCCTCACCCTAACGTTTTAAGCATTTTCTCTGTGTGTCTGGACATCTTTATCTTTCTCCCCTCCTAGACTACATTTCGATGTCATTTTTCATTAAACAATGACATAAAGATTGAAAAAATATTGCATGTGAGTAGACATGGATCTAATTTTTAAAATTTCCACCTAAAAGCTTTTATAAAACCTGAAAATGAAGAGTTTGTATATTTTATTTTATAAACTTCAAATGGCATACAAGATCCCTTGCTAAGGCCCCTGTCTTGTACCCTGACTCTCTACAGGTGAAGGCCAGCAGGACAGGAAGATGCAGTTACCTACCTTCTCCCTCTGGGAGTCCAGGATGCTCACCAGCCTGTAAGCATTCGTGTCCTTGCTCTTCACGTTGAATATGTGTAAGGCATACTCCACGGTGGCAAGGAAATAACTTTCTATGCCTTTCCCCTCATTGCTAAAACTCCAGCTGTGAGTCACTCGGACCTGGGAACCTGCGAGAAGCAGGAACATGGCCCAGGCGGAGCTCATCTCCATTGCAGACGCCTCAGAGATGCAGGCAACCAGCCACCCACAGCTCTTCTGGCTCAGGCTCCACTCAAGCTTCCCTGGGCAGTGGTCCAACTAATCTACTCCAGGACATATCCTTCCTGTGAGCCTCCTCTCTGCTGTGACACGCTGTCCCCTCCCACATGTGACCCTGCCTCCTCTGTCCAAAGTAGGTAAAATTGTCTCCTGTCCAGGACAAAGGAACAAGGCCCTGGCAGGGTGGGTTGGGAAGGATCAGCGATAGGAGACAAGGTCCCCTGTAGCTGAATCTCAGCCGTAGGACTTCCTCGGAGCTTCAGTGGGGAAGGAAGACTTCACTTGAATGCCCCAGAACCAGAGTCTATAATGAAGGCACACGTGCAAGAGGTAGAAATGGAAGGTGATCCTCTGACACAGCAGTAGAGTGAAGGTCAGTAAGACAAGGAGGGGTGGAGCCAAAAAGGATGCGTTTTCCAGAGCCAGCTTTGTGGGTGCAAGAAGGCAGCCTGTAGCCACATTCTGGGAGAGGGCACCAGCACCTGCCTGAGGACCGCCAGCCTGAGTGTGGCCACCTGGGGGCCTTGGGATGAAGGCTGGACATGGTTCATTTTTCTTGTTGCTTTGAGTCTGATGCACTGGCACACCAGCCTCATGCCAAAGAGATGTGAGAGTCAGTTGAAGCTAGCCAGCACCCCTCAAACCTGATGTAGACAGGATGTAGAGGTTTGGCAGAGACAATGGTAGTCCTAAGAGTCCCAAATGCCAAGGGGACAGGGACAGAGGCAGGGACTAATGAACAGGAACAATGCACGTATTCGGTACCAAGTACCTTCGGCTGAACACAGCTGGTCATAGGACCTGCCTGTGACAGAACTCTGGATGATGGTATGAGCATTATTGTAAACTCAACCAGGTCCAGGTCCATGGGCTTTGCAGTAAAGTATAGTTCCAGGAGCTGTGTGGTAAACAAATAACCTTGAATTGTTGCCAGGGCAGGAAATGCAGAGGGAGAATGTAAGAGCATGGGTCTCCTTTCAAGGTGGGCTCTAGCCAGAGGGTGTCTTACAGCCTTGGACACAGGCACAGCTCCAAAACGGAGGGACTTGGTTCCAGCTCTGTCCAGCATGCCCACCTGAGTCACCCAGACATTTTCTCCTCATCATCTGGAACATTTGCTACCCACTTAACAAGATACCATGGTCAAGTGTAGAAATGTATCGCTCGCATTACAAGCCCCTTATTGTGGGCCAATTCTTTCTCATATATTTCTAGTCAAATGGCAACTGAAAAAATGCTCTTATAGCAATGAGAACATGGTTGGATTGAGGGCTGAAAGCATCTATAGCAGTACAATTGCATGTTATGTGATAATAAGAGAAACATTTCAATAAGAAGCTCTAATACTTATGAACCTGCATCCAAACCACACGTGGAGCTGGAATAGCCAACAGAATACTTGGTGCTGTTACAGGTCAAACCAGCAATTCCACAATCACATTGGGAGCATCTTACACATCTCTCAGGGGTGATATCAAGACAGTTTAACATTATAAAGACTATAGCTAAGTTGAACGATGCAGTTAACTAGTCTACTTAAACAATTTTCTGAAAATTCTTCTACCCAGTATGGAATGTGGGTTTTTAAGTAAAGATGTGATAATCATAAAATGATAGTATTAAAAATGTTACAAATATTTCTTTGTGTCTTCTTCAATATATGTTAATAATGTCTTATAGTTTTTAGTGTAATAGGTCCTTCACATCCTTTGATAAATCCATATTTGTGGGCTGGAAGAATCAACATAGTCAAAAATGGCCATATTACCCAAAGCAATATACCCATTTAATGCAATCCCCATCAAAATTTTTAAAGAAACAGACCAAAAAATCACAAGATTTGTATGGAAATACAAAAGACCCAAAAATCCAAAGCAATCCTGAGAAAAAGAACAAAGTTGGAGCTATCACACTCCCAGACTTCAAATGATACTACAAAGCTGCGTAATCAAAATAGCATGGTATTGGCATAAAAAATGCACAGACCAATAAAAGAGAATTGAAAGCCCAGAAATGCATCCACATGTATATGGGAAAATAATTTTTGATGAAGGATACAAGGGGGTGGGGAGGGAGAAGCCTCTTCAATGAATGGTGCTGGGGAAATTGGAAAGCCACATGCAAAAGAATAAAACTAGACTGCTGTCTGTCACCAGATACAAAATTAACTCAAAATGGATCAAAGGCCTAAATATAAGACCTGAAACAATAAATTACATAGGAAAAAACATAGGCACTAAACTTTTGGACCTTGGTCTTAAAGAGGATTTTATTAATCTGACCTCAAAGGCAAAGAGAAATAAAAGCAAAAATAAATAAATGGGACTATATTAAATTAAAAAGCTTCTTCACAGCAAAAGAAACAGTCAACAAAATAAAAAGGCAACAAACCAAATGGGAAAAGATATTTGCAAACAATACCTCTGACAAGTGATTAATGTCCAAAATATATACAGAACTCGTAGAACTCAATACCAAACCAAACAAACTATCCAATTAAAAAATGGGCAGAGAACCTGACCAGAAGACATACAAATTACCAAGACATGTATGAAAAGAAGCTCACCTTCACTAGCTATTAGGAATATAAAAATTAAAGCTACAATGAACTACCACCTCACAACTGTTAGAATAGCTGTTATCAAGAAGACAAGTAATAACGAATGTTGAAGAGGTTGTGTAGAAAAAGGAATTTAAACTGATACAGCCACTCTGGGAAACAATATAGAAGTGTCATAAGAAAATTAAGAATACAATTACTATATGACCCAGCAACCTCTCTTCTGGGTGTTTATCCCTCTATAATGGAAAACATTTATTTGCAAAGATATATGCACTCCTATGTTCATTGCAGCATTATTCACAATAGCTAAGACATGTAAACAACTGAAATGTCCTTTGAAAGATGATTGAATAAAGAATATGTGCTACATATATACAATGGAATACTACTCAGCCATAAGAAAGGACAAAATATTGCCATTTGGGAACATAAATGAATTTGGAGAATATCATGCTAAGCAAAATAAGTCAGACAGAAAATTTCAAGAATCATGTGATTTCATTCATATCCTATATAATAAAGATACAATATGCAAATTGAACATCACACCCTCACATAAAAGATGGCTGCCCCCATGTAGGTCAAAGATGGCCACCACAAGATGGCTGGCAGGGGAGGGCAGTTGAGGGTGACAGGGCTGTCAGGGGAGGACAGTTGGGGGCTACCGGGCCAGCAGGAGAGCAGTTAGGTGTCAATCAGGCTGGCAGGGGAGTTTTTAGGGGGCGATCATGATGGTAGGCAGAAGCAGTTAGGGGCAATCAGGCAGGCGAGCGGTTGGGAGCCAGCAGTCCCGGATTGTGAGAGGGATGTCTGACTGACAGGGATCGGGCCTAAACCGGCAGTAGGACATTCCCTGAGGGGTCCCAGATTGGAGAGGGTGCAGGCTGGGCTGAAGGACATCCCCCTCCAGTGCGTGAATTTCATGCACTGGGCCTCTAGTGTGTTCTATAAAACTGAAAGCAACAAATGAATGAGCAAGAAAGACAAAATAAACAAAACCTCATAGGCACAGACCACAGTATGGTGGTTACCAGAGGGAAGGGAGGTGAGGGTAGTAAAGAATAAAGGGGGCCAAATACATGGTGACAGAAGACTTGACTTTGGGTGGTAGCACACAATACAGTACACACATGATGTATTACAGAATTGCACACTTGAGACCTATATAATTTTTTTTTAAATATATATTTTATTGATTTTTTACAGAGAGGAAGGGAGAGAGATAGAGAGTTAGAAACATCGATGAGAGAGAAACATCGATCAGCTGCCTCCTGCACACCCCCCACCGGGGATGTGCCCGCAACCCAGGCACATGCCCTTGACCGGAATCGAACCTGGGACCCTTCAGTCCACAGGCTGACGCTCTATCCACTGAGCCAAACCGGTCTCGGCGAGACCTATATAATTTTATTAACCAATAAATAAGTTCAATATTCAATTTTAAAATGTTATAAACATACTGGCAATCCAACAATAAAACTATAGCTAAGAAGTTTTGAATTAATGCATTTTGATCAGATTTGTAGTAAAAATATATTAGTGAATTATCATTAAATTGAAAATAATGTAATTACTTTCATAATTGAAAATTAATTTACTGCCAAAAGAGAGTATCACAAATTGATCATAAATGAGTTTGTAAGCTAATTATAAATTTAATTAGCAATAAAATCCACAAAATAGTGAACACATAACTAAAGCATGTTGCTATGTAAGTTAATACCTTACCCGTAAATATCTCCTCTATTAATCATTTGTAAAGAGCAGATATAGTATATTTTAAAACTTACCAATTGAAACTAATGTAATATTACAGAAAATTTTATACTCGTAAATGTATTTATTAAAAAGGCAGATAGTAGAAAAAGTAGAAAGATGAGATTTATGATAAAATGACAAAATTCCAAAATAAAAAAATGTGTGGTAACAAAATAAGCCAAATATTGGGTGAAAAGAAGTAGGCAAACATTTAGCAAGAACTATCAGGAAAACAAAGAGAGAGAATATAAAACATCATTAGTAATAAAGGGAAGACCATGAAAGATACAGATTAAATATTAATGTGTATGTTTAAAAAAAAAAACTATTTCAGAGTAAAGAGTTTTTAGACTTGACAGTAAAACCTGATCCCATAAAAAAAAAAGTTGATAAATTAGTGGTCATCAAAATTAAAAACTTTTGCTTAGTAAAAGTTTATGTGAAGAGAATTAAAAGTCAAACTAAAGAGTGGGAGAAAATATTTGCAAACCACATATTCCACAAACAATCCGCATCTAGAAATATAAAGTACTTTAAAAACTTAACGGTTAAAAATAATAAATGTCATTAGCAAAAGCCATAAACAGACATTTCACCTAAGAGGGCACACAGATGGCAAGTAAAAATATAT